TTTTTCTATATATTTTTAGTTGTCCAGCTAATTTCTTTCTATTTTTAGTAGAGACGGGGTCTCGCTCTTGCTCAGGCTGGTCTCGAGCTCCTGAGCTCAAACGATCCTCCCTCCTCGGCCTCCCAGAGTGCTAGGAAGGATTACAGGTGCAAGCCACCGCGCCCGGCCTCTCATTAATTTTAAAACTATGTTTCCCAAGCACAGTGAAGAAGAGTCTCCTCTATTTTACCAGCTTATTCCACCTAGTACCCAAAGTACCCAAAAAACTATTCAATTCATGTAATTTGACAATGGTGGTAATATTACTTTTTCTACTTAAAAACACCCCAACTAATTACTTTTAATCTTTGCTATGACAGCTAACATATTATAGTTTTAAAGAGTCATCTGCTATAATACATTCTATTCAAGGTAGACCATGAAAATTATCAGAAAACCTCAGCTGAGTAGTCCTTACTTACTGGGCTCTTTGTGTACGACATGTCTAATAAACCCAAAATACTAACTCTGCTTTCCCCCAAAAGCTCTTCATCCGTTGCAGATTTACCCACTATAGAATCTTTACTAATTCCTTAATAGCTTCTATGTAAAAAGTCATATTGCAAAAAAAAATTTATATTTCTTTCAAAAAGCTCCATTTGGTTGGAGATGATATTAATAGAGGAGACTATGCACATGCACAGGGAGTACATATATGGAAATCTCTACCTCCTGCTCAATTTGGCCACAAACCTGAAACTGCTCTAAAAATTAAAGTCTATTAAAACAAACAAAACCAAAAAGCTCCACTAAGTTTTCCAGAATATTATCACTTTCTGATCTTCAGTTCTTTGAAAAAAATTGTCTTACACTCTCTGTTCTTATATTTATTTCCATCCTTCATACCACATATTTCCTATTTCACAGTTTCAAATAACCCTTTGTCTCATCTCTTACCTAAACAATGTAAAATCACCTTTATAATCACTTTGCACAGAGAGTGTAATCCAATCACAAAGAGAATGGTAACTCTAACTTTTTTTTTAGACTCAAATGAACAACCCTGCTTTTTAGGAAAGTTCCATGTGTAAAATGATAACCTTTATACATTTAGACTCCTTGATCCTTCTGTTGTAACATACATACTTTCTAATCGTTCTCATAGAAACTAGAATAAATGTCAAATAATAGAAATCTACAGAAGGATTTCATTCTGGAAATGAAAAATTAAAAGGTAGTTGGTTCACATCTAGATTATTTGTTGCATTTAACCTCTGCTGGTGATGCAGTATGGTTACAGAAGCTTACCTTTTCTTTACTTCTCAGTCCTGGCATAGGCCCAGAAATATGTTAAGCCTGAACATAAACAAAAAGGACTCCAGTACACTTAGTCACCTCTCAAGCAATTACTCTCAACCCCAGAATCTAAATAACTCAATTTAGCTGGATCGTACAGGAGCAAAATGGCATAGATTAACTCTAGAATGCTCTAGACTAAAAATAGACATAAAGATTAATTCTAGGTAAAATGGTTGTTGCCTGTGGAATAATTTATCACTGACGTTATCATGCTTTTAAAAATAATTTTTATTGTGAAAGTAATAAATATTCATTGTAGGAAACTTGGAAAATTCAGGTAAACAAAAGACACATTATTCTTCACACTATTAATTATCTAAGTATAATATATTCTTATTAAGCAAAGAAATGCTTAGGAGTTTTTATCAGTAATTTTCTGTATTTCAATCAAAACTATCTTTCATCTTTTCTACTCAAATTATGAACTTGGTCAAAAATACTTTTAGCTAACAGTTTACAAAGTATTTAAGCATTTTTATCTTTTTTATCTTTATGCATTGTTATTCACATGACAGATATTTACCTACAAAAATCAGAAAGGGTATGTCTAATTCCCAGTATACCAGTGGTACCTCCACTGCTTTCTTTTTCTTCAAGAAACCATACCAGCATGTGGCATGCAAGTTACTGAATGAGATGTTGATAAATCACAAGCCTTGAGTTTAGTCTAATGTGTGTATTTATTCAAAGTGTAAGTTACATGTAAACTCCAGCACTTTAGCACAAGTTACAGATGATGTTAAGTTTCCAACTGATCTCAAAGCATCAGTGTGCCTAGATATAGTGATTGAGAAGTATTGGTTTAAAATACTATTTGTAGTATTAAATGGAAATCTTATAAAAATCCTTACATAAAAAGGAAAGTCACAGAAGCAGTATTTTCAACACAATGTAAGTCAAAAGTGTCACAAAATTAAACTCATATAGTAAGACTAAAACATTTTGCTAAATAGCATAAAACTGGTTACTTATAAAATATACTCACCATTTGTCCATTAGAATCCCCCAATGACTGAAGTTCGTACCGAATAGGTTGCCCATTTTGGTCCACTAGATGGAATTGCTCTGCAGAAAGAGTCTGGGTCTGAGTCAGGGGCCCTAGTATATTCTGTGATGTGAGTGAATTATTTGCTTCAGAAGTAGTGATGGGCAAAACTGTAGGAGTATCATTTTGTCCAAAGGAAGAATTCCTGGAGTCCATACAGGTTAGATGCTTTTCCAAAGAAAAAAAAATCACTTTGGTTTTTGTAAGATATATTGTCAATATTTAAAAAAAAATAGAATATGTATAATAAAAATGCAAAGATATTCACTTTTCAGTTAATTGTCCATTTTACTTTTTGCAAGAGTTGCCAATTCATACAGAATGACACAGACAGAAAGTATTTCTTCAGTGAAATTGTTGATTTTTATTATATTTCATTATCTCAATATTAAAATAAAATTCTGAATGAGAATACAACCTGAAATGATGAAATATGTATATTTCAACCTACAGATTTTCTTTGTACATAAATTTTTATGAATATTTTGCATTGCTTT